CCGGGCGCTCCGGCTCTTCCCTGCGAGGGACAAGGTGGGTGACACCCTCTCGGGGGAGGGGACACCCCGGGGTCCGCCCTCCCCCCCCCGCCCCAGCACTTACGTCGGGTCCGGGGGGTCCGGGGGGTCCGGGGGGCCCGGTGGGGCCCGGGGGACCTGTGGGAGAGGGGGCACAGCTCAGCTCGGCCCCGGGGCACCCCAAAACGGGTTGTGGGGGGCAGGGGATGGGGACACACACTCACCCACGGGTCCCACGGGTCCGGGGGGGCCCACGGGCCCCACGATGCTCCTGGTGGGCTCCGTGAAGGTGTTGGAGAGGAGGGGGTCCCCTGGGGGAAGGGGGAAAGGGGGGTGGGCAGGGGGCAGGGCTGGGGGGGTGGGGGACCCCTCCCCTGCTCTGTCCCACACCTGGGACCCCAGTGTTGGCAGGGGGGTCCCCAGTGCTGCCCAGTGCCCCCCACCTCCTCCCTGGCACCCCAATGATGGCAATGGGGTCCCCAGCGCCACCCAGCCCCTCCCACCTCATCCCTGGGACCCCAGTAATGGCAACGGGGTCCCCAGCTGTGCCCAGTGCCCCCCACCTCATCTCTGGAGCCCTGGTAGTGTCAGGGGGATCCCCAGTGCCCCCCACCTCATCCCTGGAACCCCAATGATGGCAATGGGGTCCCCAGTGCTGCCCAGTGCCCCCCATCTCATCCCTGGGACCCCAGTGATGACAGGGGTTCCCCAGCTCTTCCAGTGCCCCCACCTCATCCCTGGGACCCCAATGTTGGCAAAGGGGTCCCCAGCTGTGCCCAGCACTCTTCATCTCATCCCTGGAGCCCTGGTGGTGTCAGGGGGGTCCCCAGTGCTGCCCAGTGCCCCCCACCTCATCCCTGGGACCCCAATGACGGCCCAGGGGTCCCCAGCTCTGCCCAGTGCTCCACACTTTATAACTGGGACCCCAGTAATGGCCTGGGGGTCACCACTGCTGCCCAGTGCCCCCCATCTCATCCCTTGAGCCCTGATGGTGTCAGGGGGATCCCCAGCTGTGCCCAGTGCCCCCCACCTCATCCCTGGGACCCCAATGACGGCCCAGGGGTCCCCAGCTCTTCCCAGTGCTTCCCACCTCTTCCCCAGGACCCCAATGACAAGCAGGGGGTCCCCACACCACCCCCACCCCACTCCCTCCGGCCCTCTGTGCCCCCAGCCCAGCCCCGTTCCTGGGGTGGGGCCGGGGAAGGACCCTCACCCCTCTACCCCAGCCCCCCTTACTGGGCTGGGCCAGGCGGGGGGTCGCGGGTCCCACGGGGGCAGGGGGGCCCGGCGGGCCGGGGGGGCCGGGGGGCCCCTTCTCTCCGGGGAGCCCCCTGGCCCCATCCCGGCCGGGGGGTCCCGGGGGGCCGGGGGGACCTGCGGGGAGGAAGAGGAGGGTGAAGGTCGGGGGGGTGCCTGCAGCCCCTCCGACCCCCAAACCGCCGCACGGACCCCCCGAGATCCTCCCACCAGGGGAGGGGGGCTCAGCTGGGGTCAAGCGACAGATTTGGGGGGTTGTCCCCCGCTCATCCCGTCGTCCCCCTCCCCTTACCTGGCGGCCCCGTCGGCCCCTTCACTCCCGGAATTCCCGACGGGCCCCGTCCTCCCGCGTCGCCCTTGGGGCCGGGGGGTCCCCTGGGGCCGGGTCTCCCTGCACAGAGCGGCACCCTGAGGGGGGCACCCCGGGGACACCCCCTCGGGGGGGGCCCCCACCGTCACTCACCCCCTCCCGGAGCCCCTGGGGGGCTTGATGTCACCGCTGGGGACAACGGGGGGGGCGGGACAGCACCTCCCCCTTCCCCCCAAATGAGGGGTTCAAAAGGGGGTCCCCCCAAATGAGGGGTCCAAGAGGGGGTCCCCCCAAATATCGATATACTGACAGCACCCCGGGGCTCTCCCAGCGCCGCGGGTGCTGCCGGGTGGCACTGCCACCGTCACTGCCACTGTCACCCCCCTGCCTTACCGTCATCGCCGGGGCTCCCGCGGGCCGCCGGGGACCCCCAGAGCTGCCCCCGGCCCGGGGGGCCGCCCTTGGGTGCTGCGGGGGTGGGGGGCTCTGCCGCTGCCAGCCGGGCAACCTGGCACAGACACAGCGGGGGTGGGCGACAAGGAGACCCCCCGGGGCTCCTGTGCCACTCGGGGGGGGGTGGGAAGGGGTGACAGACCCCAAATTGGGGCTCACCTGCGCCTCCAGGGTGGCGAGCCGGGCCGTCAGCTCCCCGACACGGCTGCAGTTCAGGCACCCTGGGGGAGAGAAATTGGGGGGCACAGGCGGTGGGAGGGCGGCATCCAGCCCCCCCCCCCGTGCCCACCCCGGGTGGTTTTTGGGGAGGGACCCACCTGAGAAGGCCGTGGGGCGCAGGGGGGGCCGGCGGGGGGCTGTGCTGGGGAGCCCCGTGTCCCGCAGGGTGAGGAAGGTGGGAGTCTCTGCAGGGGGAGCGGGGTCAGGGTGGGGAGGGGTGGGAGACTCCCCAAGGGCCACAAGGCTGGGAAAGCCTGTTGATCCTCCCCCCAAAATAGCAGGGGGTGCAGGGACCCCATCCCTGCTCTGGGTGAGGCTCAGTGCCCCAGTCCCACCCATAACCCTGAGTCAGACCCCCCAAACCCACCCAGGGCCCTAAACCAGACCCTCCCTGAACTCATGTGTGACCACCCAGGTCCCCCCAGTCCCACCCATAAATCCGAGTCAGGACCCCCCAAACCCAGCCAGGGTCTTGAACCAGACCCCCCC